GGTACACAGACAGTTCTGCTTCAGAGCCAGATGTAACCTCCAGGAGTGGGTGGAGACCAAACCAGAGCTTTAAAGATATTTCATATTGGACATCCATTCAGCAGATGAAAATAAATACAACTTTACATGTTAATGGATGTGTTATATGTGTAAACAGTTTGCACACTAGTTTGCCATTACAGCTTACAAAGTGATCATATGTCAGTGTTATGTTCACAAACAGTTCAGGTGATTGCATTTTTAAAAAGGATATTGATTTTAGTCGTTAGGTTGTTTTATCAACATCGTTATACTGTAGTGTCTGTTATATATATATATGTTGGTCTAAATTCAATAAAAAAAAGGATATCCACTTTCAAAATTCAATTTGTTTACTAAATTGTTCTTAGGTATTCTTTCTATCTTGCTATTACTTCTCATGTTATTTTTATGTAAAAACCTGTATATAACCATGGTGATCGTAGAGAATAATAATTCGTTTTTCAAGAGCCTCCTGGACCTGACAGACAGCATCACTGTTAAGGTGTTGCATATTCTACAAACAAACACATACAAATGTGGAACAAAATGAAATAACAGATCTGACAAATACATGAATGTATCCGTAAAGATTCAGGCACTTTCGCCACTGATTCCAAGCAAAGGAAGCAGCACATTTAATTTAGTTTCCAAATTCAGACGTGGCTTTAGGGACTGACAGTAGGAAAGCTAACTGATTATATTTAATCCAAGAGCATCATAAATATAACTGCTTCACAACGCTTTACAAACTGCTTACAGGCTCAATCAGTGACAGAGCAACTGATTCAGAAACCAACTAAATCCCTGCTTTAAATCGATGATGCAAATTGAATCGCTGGTTTGTAATGCACTATTGGCCCAGAACAAACAAGAAAAATGTGCATGGACACGGTGTTACAGTGCAGATGTCTAGGGGGGACAGCATGAGCTAATATGTGACTGTGGAGAGGGTGAGGACAGGGGTGGGGGAGCAGATAGTGGGAGTTAAAGGTGGAGTCCTTCCTTTCAAGCGGAGGTTAAAAGCCTTTGAGGCGGCGACCTTGGTTTTAAAGGTCTCCGGGTGTGACTCACAAACAGGTGTCAGCACAGCTGTAAGAGTCAGAGGGGAGGGAGGGGGAGATGGATGAGGGGACAGCAGAGAGGCGGAGGGTGGGTCAGACCACCATGACAACAGGGAGGGTGCATTCCTTCACTCTGATGGGACTCTTTAGTTGATCAGATGTATTGTGCATAACAATTACAACGCTGAACTCAACATGGATCACTGTGGCCTTAAAGAGCTCATATATTAGAGTTCAATATTTAATGTCTTTGAATTTCACTATTTAATGCCGTTTTAGGATACTTCCGCAGGGTAGAAAAAGGTTTAACATTTTAAATGTAGTATTCAAAGAGATCATTATGGGTCACTTTAAATCTGTATAATATCTGTTGGCAGCTCTGAGAGAGGCGGGTTTTATCTCAGGTTTAAGGCTTCACTAAAGGATGGTGTTTGATCACCAAAGAAAAACATCAGTCTTAACGTGTTTTATATAGAGAGAATTAAATGTCTGTGATCTCCTATGTGTGGTACATTAGATGAATCTTATTAGTTGTGACTTCCGATTGGGTTTGCATACCTCAAATGCCAGAGGGAGCAATTAAATGTCATCCATCATCTCTCTGGGGATTGTTTTGCTACACTTCTAGTCTTATGCAATCACGACTTTCCATACAAATGTTTCTGAGAAGGTTACTGCAGGAATCAACATTTAAATATCTTACCCAGTATAGCACGCTTTATTCAGCAAACATTTTCGGGATTATGTTACTTTTACGTTGGCAACATTATCTCAGATATTTGCAGTGTCATCCGGGCATTTTCTTTCTTTTTTGGTAACATGTACATGTACAAATGCTTGTTAAAAGCATTGCTGAAACACGAAAATAGATTTTTGAACAGTCAGTTTTTTGTGCTTCCACAAGGTAAAATGTATAATGAGAAGTAAGAATCAGAGTAGCATATTGAACTGTAAACCTTGAGGAAAGTATGTAGTGGTAGAATGCAATAGTTCATTTACTTAGCAAAGCACTTGAAAACAAATGTCAGGGCCATTCACATCTGATGCCAATGTGAGTGACTTCCGGCCATATAAATGACTTCCTGTTATCATGTGACCAAAGTTACATAATTAGGTGATGTCCATGTTCTATTCACTTGCTCTAGAAAAGGTTCAGCACATTTTATTGCAGCTATCTTCAATATTTTTGAATAGAGGTGGATGTGAGTTTGGTGATGTCTCTACAGTAAATGGCACTGTGTTGGGTACACTGAAGGTTCTGTACTCACTCAGCTCTGCGATGCTGCCCACCCGGGTTGCGAGCAGCGACTGTTCCAGCGTGCGCACCTCGGCCTGTGAGTAGCCCTGACCTTCGCCCCCCCGCCCCGAGCGCTGCTGGTCGCGGTGCAGGTTCAAACTCTCGGGCAGGCTCAGCACACCTGCAGGGCAAAGAGAGCACAGACAGGAAGCATTTATGCACACGCTTTTGGTGAATATGAACATCTCTTTATCTGCAGCACATTTCAGCCTCCCACTTGTTATTTTGCTGATGTCAAATTAATCACCAACGCTGTGAAACAACAAGGGGATGCAGGCTGTGAAAAAAAGTCTACTGAAGCAGTGGGAAACACATAAATCAGCACTTTTAGTTTGATGTTCTAAACAGAGTAAGTAAGCTGGAGGAAACACAACATTTAGAGCATCAGAAGAGGGGATAAATGTGTTTAAGTGATGTAAAGCAGGGAAGAAATTGCAGGTTAACAGGAAACTGTTTATTTTTTGGTACAAACCTCACTGCGGTTATAAACATAAACACAACATTTCAATGAATTGGAAGCTGATTAATTACATAAAGAATTATTCATAACATAGCAGCATCGCTCAACATCTTTGAAATAAAATGTTTCTACAGTGATTTTTTGAAGTTTGATTTCACTCTCCTCTTGGCTTTACGTCCAATTTTTTGTTCCTATAGTTCAATCTCTAATTGGGCGGCGATCCACATTTGTTTCTACTGTGAATTGAAAATGTGACGTTGTTGCAATGTTTATTTCCATGTGATTTATTTCCATGGTGTGTTCTGTGTTCCCCTCCCCCCCCCCCTCTGCAAACAAGGCCCAGCAGATGATGCTGGCTGACGATGATGAATCCATTTAGGTGGTGTTACTGCAGCCAGCCTTTGTTTAGCTGCAGGGAGAGACTTGTGACGGATGAGATATTGAGTTTTTCTTTGCTACAGGAAAACGGGAAGCAACACCCCGCCGAGTGCTAATCCTAATGACACGGCGCAGGGGGATCCGCCGTTTCTCAGCAAACTAATTACAACATGGAGGAACTCAGTCAATTTGTCTGTGTGATGCCAGCATGTCAGACCAAACACTCCAGCTGCAGATTCCTCCCAACATGTCCTCTCCCCACAGTGACCAGCCCCAGGATTCCAGTATTCCCCAGTCAGTGTCCCGCCCCCTCTTCCTCCCACAGCCTTTTCCCGGAGGTCAGCTTTATTTGGAGCCTCCGATAATGATAACAACTGATTTTTCTATTACTGTTTAACCACTGGACTGTAATGATGGAACAGCTGCTATTTGGGTGTGTCTCAAACGGAACTAATTGAAACATAGTGGATGTTTTGTTTGAGCATTTCTATATTTTGAAGCGAAGACTCCCCTCTAAGCAGTGATTGGTGATTAGCAGGAAGGAGAACACATTTGGATGTAACCAGAGGTGGAAGAAGTACTCAGATATTGTACTTGAGTAAAAGTAGAAGTACTAGTGTGTAGAAATACTCTGTTACAAGTAAAAGTCCTGCATTCAAAATGTTACTCAAGTAAAACTACAAAAGGTATGAGCATCAAAATATACTTGAAGTACCAAAAGTAAAAGTACTTATTATACAAATTGGTCTATTTCAGAATAATATATGACTTTGTATACTGCAGGGTAGTTGGTGAATTATATTTCACATCATTAATCCAAATATTTGAAGTAACTAAAGGTATAGGGCCCAGACCCTAGGGGTTTTTAAATCTACTTTTAAGACACACTTCTTCTCCCTGGCCTTTTAGTCAGAGCGGAGCACGACTCCTGACTTTTCCCTGTGTTTTTTTTTTAAATATCTGTTGTAATTTATTGTCTTTTATTGTGATTATAGAAATGTGTTTTTATGTGATTGTAGTTATTACATGTACAGCACTTTGGCCCGACCAAAAATAGCTTTTAAATGTGCTTTATAAATAAACCTTGATTTGATTTGATTTGATTGAATAATTGCAGTGGGGGAGAAGTACAAAGTAGCAAAACATGGAAGTACTCAAGTAAAGTACAAGAACATAACAATTGTACTTAAGTACAGTAATTGAGTACATGTACTTAGTTACTTTCCACCTCTGGATGTAACCACAACTTTTTATACATTTAACTTTTCTTCCAATAGCATTTAAATGACTCTTTTCCAAGTGTGAATTGGAGCTACCTCACACTAAAATATAGCGATTTGAGTGCTGTTGAAGTGGTTTTATGTAACCAAGACCTTTACAAATTGAACATGCACCTACATTTGGCCCAGTTAATCTTTACATCTTGTCTTTTGACCTGCAAATCGGTTTTACAAACAGAAAATATGAATAAAGAAAACAGAAGGTCATAGATCAAGACAGACTTTTCGAAATAAAAATGTGAAAACTGCAAAGCAAACATCACGTCTGTGTTGCAATGCTGCAATATGCTTAGCACTCACATTTCCAGGGAAAGCAAAGCCCAAATAATTCTGAAAGAACACTTCAGAGTAACGGAAAGCAAATCAAGATTCCTCCAAAAAGGAAAGCCATCCATCTCCTGTCCCAGGGTGCAGCAGAGCAGTCTCCTCTAATCATCAAAACTATATTTGCATTCATGGCCAGAGACTGTGATTTTTGAGGGGAAACAGGTTGAATAATTCACAGTGTTTTCCGTAATCAAGGCCTCCCATCGTTTCCATCACCCCAACTTTTATCTCCCCCACTGCCCTAACTATTGTTTATTATAATCCCGGGCTGCCAGGGAACCCTTTGCTGAATTATTCATTCTGTCAGATCAAGACATATAAACAAGTCTGCAGCTCCCTCTCCACACCTTCCACTCAATCAACATGTTATCTCTCACCAACACTTGGCTCCGCCTGATTGAAAAAATCCAAACAGGAATATTTGATCCAAGGATCTGTTTGAGTAATAAACATCAGAGTTGAGAAAGAAGTCAGTCGGAGGCGGGGATGGAGAGGTGCTGACTAAAAAATGACAAGCAGCATGAGATATATATATTTCTGAGTCACTTCAACAACATCTTCCTGTGACCCCCGAGGCAATTCCAGGAGTTTGGAGGTGTTTATATTTTATACTTGAGAAGCCCAATCCCAGGTAAACTGATATGAACTGTGTTTTCTATTCTGGGGCTCCCTCATCTCTACTGCTGTCGGGCGGATATAGCAGAGACTGGGTCAGGGTGAAAAGACTACTTTAAGATCCGAGCGAGAAACAATTTCCCCTGAGTCGCCTCGTGCAAGTCCCCATACATAATGTAGAGGATATTTGCAGGTATTTGCAAACAACAGCTGTCTGTACGGGGGGAAAGAAACACATCTTCCAAGAAAAAGGATGGACACTTTCGAGAAATTCACATAGCCCAGAACAAAGCAATAAATACAACTCGCACAGCTTGGAACTTTAAAACCCTTTGATATTTCCCAGATTTAAAGCCCCCCACTGCCGTGTTAATGAAGCAATTTCTCAACCACACCGACAAGAGCGAGGTTCACACTTCCAGGTATGTTTCAGAATAATTCTTACATTTTGTTAAGAAACTTTACTTTTTTCGCATCACAGATTGGACACACATCTGTCGTTTATGAACATCATGAAGAATGTAAATAATGTAATCGTAAATTATAAGGTCCCCTGTTTGTGTGGCTCTGTTATTTCTTAAGTGGTATTATTTCTATATATTTTTAAACACACACATTTTTCAATTCTCAACAATGATAGACAGCTACAGATTATTGAAGTTAACAATTTAGAATATTCCCGATAATCCTGATAATGGAAATTGACCAATTTTAACTTATTGTGATAATTTTTTATCATGATCAAATCCTATACTGTACAGTATAACTCTCGATGTATGTTGTTGTGTTTTTTACCTATTGACAGATTTAAGCTAGCTGTTTCCAACTGCTTTATGCTAAGCTAACTGTCTGTATGCTCAAGCTTCATATTTAAAAGGACAGTATTGGAGTGTCGTCCATTCTCTGTTCTCTGCAAGAAACTGCAAATGAAACCAATTTTATTTAATATAAATAAAATGAATCTGTTTGTTTCTGTTCTTCTGCTGCTTAGGTGGTCGGTGAGTTCAGTGGACTGAAGGCTGCCAAGCTTCTAACAAATCATTACACAGTGTTTACTGAACCTTGATGGAGATGGATGCAAGCCTGACCTGCAGGCATACAAGCTAATAACCTTGAGAATGTCTGAGAATCAACCTACAAGGGACTCGAGAAAAACAGCCATGTTTTCAGCCTCATAATGGAGCATTTTAACAGCATTTGCTCTTTTACTATACCTGAAACTGTTTTGACCTGAAACAAAACGTTTTTTTTTGTGCATTACGCAAACAAATAGTCTTGTTTTAAGTTTTTTAAAACAATGCATCAGGTGTCATTTTACCTCAGCTGCTGACATTTTTAAGTCAATCTAAATCTAATGGTGTCACTTATAATACTTAATAAATAACGCTAATTGTAATATAAACGTATCAGCAATAATAGTTTTGTCCTCAAACTGTCTTTCTCAAAAATGTATAAAAAAGCCAAGGTGATGTTTTTTTCTTCAATTGTTAACTTGTGAGACAACCAGACCTAACTCCAATTTTCTTTATCACCTAAAACAAAGAAAAATCTCATTCTTCATTGAGTACGTTTATTTTCTGTCGATTGACTAATTTATTTATCGGTTAAACGCTTTAAGTCTACATCTGGCTCTTAAGTATGTGGTTTTATATGCACGGGCCAATGCATGTGCGTGTAATGAATAGGCCATTATACAGACTTTCCTGTCTCTTGCATTAGAAAAGCTCCATTTGAAAAAGGTCTTTTCAGAACAGAAATGGCAGAAAGGATTGTCTGGCCTGTTGGAGATCAAGCCCTGGGCATAATGGAATTCGTGATCAATGCCATCCCTTTTTAGGATAGGCAGCCAATCCTTCGTCTGAATGGCTTCACCAGTCAAGAGCAAAGAAAGCTCAATCCCCTAATGCCCGACCTTTGAACAATCTCCTCCAGAGACTTCGCTGCTGCAACTCTTAAGGAAATGACTGGCCAATAAGAAGCGAACAGCTTGATGAGGACTGGATGACATTTTGATTTGCTAAAAGCCACACGGACAGATACACTTCTACTCGAGAAAGGACA